AGAAGGTTTCTCACATAACGTTGTTTGCAATTCCTTACCGAGATCTACCCTGTGAAAGTTTTCTTTAATAATAAGTGTAACGGTTCCAGTCTTGACCGTAACTATGCAAACATAGCAACTAAAAACAACGGGTGATACAGATCTAGAGCTTTACCTTGCGTAGTTTTCTCTCTCTTTCTATCCGACGTTGGTCTTGAGGGTAACTCTGTCCTCTGGAGACTCTGGAGTAGTCGGGCCTGGCCGGAAGGGGACCGTGCGGTAGCCGCCACTCCTCGGGCAGAAGTGGCCCGTCGTTCCGAAGAGCTTTCCTCCAGGCCTCGGTGATTGACCCACGGGCTAGCAAGGGAGGGACGCTCGCCGAGAGGTCTACTTGTGAATGAGAGTCCTCGAGGACTGAGATTTTTGGCAACGCCGTTGCCATGGCAAAGAAGATTTAGCACATTGAGTGGAGGAAGAGGTTCTTCCACTACACACTTGAGGAACTCTCGTGTGGGATTAGTTGGTCTAGCAGAACTCTATAATGTACTGGGCCATGACCAATTCTGAAGAATGAGGGGAGGTTCGTTATATATTTGAGGGGTACAGAGGCCAATACACTTTCGTGGGTGATTCAAGCTTACTGGTAGGATTTATGATAGATCTATCGTCATATCTACAACACAATTTAAAAAAAAGAAAAATGTAGAATAATTTTTAAAAGTTTGATTTTTGATTTATGAAACGTGTGTTTGCGTCACTAGTGTCCGTATTTTAAATTATGTACTTGGGTCACAGTTCGGCTTTTAAATTATGTATTTAAGTACCATGTATATATTTATTGAACAAACTTTTAGTTTAAAAATGACTGACGTAGATGCGCGTATGCGTAAATATTAAACATTAGGGTGATACAAAAGGTTAATTTTCTGTCGTTTCTTTACAAAGTAAGTTTAACGAAACCTACTTTGCAAGTGTCATTCATGAAATGCAGGTGGCAATATTTGACGCTAAATCTGTGTTTAACTTTTCTTTTCTGCAATAAAACGTTGGATCCTTCCCTGCCTTAAAATGATCAGTCCCTTACGACATTTCACAAACACCCTCCGTTGCTAGGCCGTCAGCCACGGTCCTCACCACGCCAATACCCCCGTCTACACGTCACGTTGTAGCCTCTTTAGCAGGCGTCACGGTGGGCGTTTGAACGTGCCAAATTTATTGCATTTTCTGGAAGGCTGATCAAGTAACTGATACTTGCCATGCTGTCAGAAATTGTAAAAAAAAGGTTTTAAAAAAGACCGTGCAGAGAGCACGTCATGAAGAAAGTAAAAGAAAAGAAAAGAAAAACGAAAAATGTCAAAGTGTCTGCTGTGGAGCCTGATGTGTAGGCTATGACTACACGTCATCGCGCCCATGTTGATCCACCCTGTGGCATAACTGCCAACAGAAGACCCCATGAAAGGCAGACTTGTCCCCCTCACGGCGAGACTTTTGTGCAGATGTTTAGCCACCAAACAAACCTGTAATGTCTGCGCAAACCTCTCTTGTTGTGTCCCCAAACAGTAGTAGAGACTGTACCACCCATAAATGTCATTCTATACCCTAAAACTTAAAGTTTGTTACTTAATTCTTTGAGAAAGTGAATTTTCGTAGTCAAAACAAGATTTTTTTCAAAAGTCAAATGCCTTCGTAAAGTCGAGAAATGTTCGGTCGCAACGCGACTGTTGTGTTGATATTTAACCACCCGGCGGTGGGTAATGCTTGGGTAAATGGCGCTTTGTTGTGACTCCAAACAGTAGTTGGTTGTTAATATGGTTCGGCTGCGGTCCTAATGATCCCCAAAGCATAAAGCACACTTGTGCAAACGTGGAAAAGGACCTCATTAAGGGGGTTGATCTTAAACTGTTTTACAACACATGACAGAAGGATTAGTGGTCTTTTAGACGTAACGGTGTTTGCGGCGCTTGTTTTTCAGATTTTGAACAGGTGCGCGACAATATCTCTGACGATTCAACATAAAAGAAACCAGTCAGAAAAGGACAGCAAAAGATTGAAAGAAAACTTAAGACTCAATAAAAGGAAGAGGAAAAAGTGAAAGAAAGAACATAATATGTGCAACAAAGTCATTACTCAGTTGAGTCATCATAAATTCAGTTAACGTTCAAGTACCTGAACGTCCAATTATTTGACCGTCACTTGACAACTTGAAACACAAAGTCATATTAGGACATTTTATTGCACCATATAAGTCAGACAGGCATGCGATTACAAAACAACACATCGTAACCATGACAACGGATTGTTGCATTAACCCTAATCAGCCAAATCTAAGGCACATTTCCAAACTTTTTAAAATTCAGTTAATAAAGAAAAGTTGAACGCGGCAAAACTGAGACTATGATTTGATTTTTAATAAGGACGCTACGGACCGCAGACCGCAATGATTATTTGATTGATAGCAAACTACAGAACACTAAAACCATTAGTAAACACTTAATTATAACTAGAGAGGCCGACATTTGCTTGGGAGCAAATACAGCATATTTCAGTCCATCTCCCTCCCACGCAAAAGTGGACTATTCCAAACTTACCCCAGTGTAAAACTGGCAAAGATTCTCAAATAAATGAATTATATAGTAGCTATGAAATTGAGAACAAAGATGCAAGAACAAGCACATTGAATCTCGAAAGCTTTACTAGTCTTATTACAGGTATGCAAATACTAACAATGATGAGATTTGATACATTTTGAAGGTCTTAGGCACATAAAATTGAATGTGTGGGTCATTCCGCACGACTTGCGTGCAATGTGACCTCAGGTAACCCGCAATGGAACACGTGTTCCATGGCCAACGACAGATGGAACAGGCCATTCTTTAGATAGAACATGGAACGGGTATAGCACTTTTGGCCCTTTTTTGCTGAAAATAGCCGATTAAAGTCCCCCAAATGAGTCATTTGGAAGTGGTGTATGCCAAATATGTGACTGCTATTCTGTAGACACATATTCAAGGTACCCTTATACCGAATTTCAGATCATTTGGTTGTAATACCAGGGCTCAGGATCCAAAAATCCATTTTTTGGCGAAAAATGCCCCAAAAAACCTTCATAAAAATTTTTCAAAGGCATGTATCAAAAAAATGAAAAAAACGCCTGGGGGTATTGGCTCACTCTACCTCTATGCCAAATTTCAAGTCATTTGGCTGAATGATGGCGGAGTTGAATTCCTTTGACTGTGTGGCAGGAGGAGGAGAAGAAGAAACACCAGAGAACACAATATATTTCATCCATACCATGGTATGGACTGAAATATAATTACTACGTGTGGGGGCATTTGTTTAACCTTTATCAAACTGACGTCGCCATTTTTGTACAAATTCTCTATTGGTTATGCGGTTAGCTTTTTAGGGAATAGGGAAAAGGTTTACCACAAAGGTTTCCTATCGTTATGTTTTTTGTTGTTTTTAAAGCGCTTTCAGCAGTTATACGCCTTTAGTTGTCCCATGAGTTCATTAAGGTCCGTTACGTGCATGTTGATTGTCCCAGATATGACCCAGACGTGACCTGTAGACAAATAACGGTGTAGTTTTTCATTATAAACGTCATGGCAATGACGCCATGTTTACCGAGGGCCGACCTTCGGCAAACATCGCCGTACAAGTGTCTGTGGCAAGAGCAAATAAAATCCTGGCTTGGCTTCACACGCTTTTTATAGATTGAATCGTTTTTAGCTTAATTAAATCCGTAAAAGAACACTGGGTGTACGGTGGTATAAGGCCTGCTCTGGTCCTATAACCGATCGTAGTGAATAAATTGGTCGTTAGAATTCCTAACCTATGGCTGTGGTCCTGACCAATTTTATTACGACCTTGCAATCAATTCAAAATGTCGATTCCTGATTGGTCAGTGCGTCCCGGCTGTAAGATCATGAATGATAAAATACGTGTAAGATGAGACCGAAAATATGTCAGTTTCTGAAAATTAAAAAAAAAGACAGTGATTGGGCAATCATGGTAAATTAATTGTAATGTGCCTAAAATGCGTTTGTAATATTCATGCGTTTATTCTGTATTTTGTTTATTGCGCTATTGTTCAATAATGATATCGCATCATTTAGGGCTTAGTTGTATTGTTTTATTATCAGTGATGGCGTGAATATAAATATTTTACCTATGATGTTACAATCGTTACGGCAGAGCGTACGTATCACAAGGCTACGATTACATAGCAAAAACATACACATGTAATCAGTTGAAAAAAGCTTCTCTTTGGTGTGGTAGCTTTTCCTTGTTTCAATTTTTTCTTTCACTTATTTTTGTTAGATATCGTTTTTACGTGTAAGGTGCAAAACAAACAAGTTGTCAATATCAAACGTTGGATTAATATATATATGTCTTGTATACGTAGAATACAGCATAATATTTCACATTACTCCAAAGTAGCTGAGCCTTAGTCACAGGACAGTGGATAGCGGAAACATTAATTTGCGAAGTGCTCACTTGAGAACACCTTTTTCCTAAATGTACTGTGGCTACAGTTAGAATAGTCATGTCACTCACGTAGCTATGACGTATCATACTACGTAGTAGCAGTACGTTGAGCATCCGCCATTTTGTTAGTTAAACACTCGTGACAAGACCTAAGTAGAGAGAAATATTAATTTCTTTCTTAAAGTCGCTTGCTTCTTACCTGTGTATACTTATAAAGCACCAAGGACAGTTTACAATTACTTTAGTATCACTTCTGGCATGCCATTTTGGCAATTCGTAGGCATGAAGATAAAAAAAGAAAATCACGAGTGTTTGATGCTATACAATGTCCTTGAAAGCACCCAGCTAAAACGAATCTCTTTGTTTAAGTATATGTGCGCATTGATTGATAAGTCGCCTTATTTAAAATATTCGCCCCCCCCCCTTGCGCGTCGGCTGATCCGAGGGATGAACGCATGCGTAGGCTCGCTGCAAAGAACTGTGGGATAAGTTTCACGGGCTGATGAGAACGGTTCCAAATTGTGTCTGACAGTCTAGCAGCGGGTTTCCTTGGACGACAGGAGCCTGTCGTGTAGAGGCGGGAGGGAGCCCTTGTCCGCCTCCGGGATGCGGATGGTCGTGACCACCTGGATGTGGCCGTTCTTCTTACGGTCCACCTCCACAAACGTGTCCAGGTCAGACACGGTGTTCGCCGCTCTTCTCTGGAATTAGGGTGTAAAAGAAGAGAAAATGAATGCATTACAGTCTATACATCTGGATGTGTCTATAGTTCACTGTCTACTAGTAATTTAGTCGTTTGTTGCTTTTTGGTGACGCCTCAGGAGCGGAGTGTGTGATAAAATTGTTTAAACTATTTTTGGTCACAGCAAGGACATTATACTTTTTTTCTCCTCTTTTTAATACAAGGGCGTGCCACAAAGGATGGTCAATATATTTAATTCTGAAACTTTGTGACATATATTTCGTTACAAAGCCGTACCTTTGAAAACACCACCCAGTTCTTACTTGCCTCTTCCACAAAAGAAAACTATAATGCTAAGATAATGAGATTACAGACGACGTACCCTGGTCTTATATTTCTCTAGCTCTGCAAAGCTGTAATTTTAAACACCACCCGGTCCTTACTTGCCTCTTCCCAAAACGCTAAGATACTAGAATGGCAGACTACGTACCCTGGTCTTCCAGTTAAGCGGGAACCTCCCCCTGCGGCACATGTGCCACAGACTCTCACACAGCGCCATGATCACCGACAGGACCAGCCCAACCATCATGACGTAGAAGACCCCCGCGAAGTTGTTCAGGCCCAGTGCGCTTGCGCGTTTCTTTGACGTCATGGTCCTGAGGGAGCACCTGCCTGTGGACGGCCACCAGCGCTCCTTCAGCTTGTTCATCCGCCCGTTCTCCTGCATCTGCAGGATGCTTTTGGTGAAAAGAGACGTAGAATTCTTTAAAGGCATCCAATGTAATTTCAGTCCTCCTGTCAAGGGCTTATGCGATACTGTACCCTTCGAAAGTTCAATAAACCAGTCATATAAACAAAAATATTTTGGATGAGGAAGCCTGTCTGATATTGACATTTACTTCCATTTCCTGAGTACATTTTTGTCATCATTTCATACTTAAGCGTTGGAAATAGCCCCAAGCTTGGACATGGTATATACTAGTATTTTTGCCTAGATATACTATGATGACATAGGATTGATACAACTTACTACGTTCAAAGAATGACCAGACCAATTGATTTTGAAAATTGACTTTTAGAGTCGTTTTCTTGTACGTACTTTCGGGTATGGAAGTATAGTTTTGGGTGGTTGTGTATCTTCTGGACAGAATAGGCTGACAGTATGTTTTCTCGTCTCAACTCCCCTCCCCTTAAGTAAACTATATGTTTAAACTTTCATGCATATGTTAATGGCAGGATGTTGGAAGCTTTCGTGACTGTCCCTGCCTCATTGTCAGAATTTCAGCGATTTTGTTCCCTACCCACAGTCTTGTTCTACAAAATCAAGTCCTCCTCACCCTTTCTGGTAAAAAAAGGTATGATTTACCCGTATGAAAACGCTTCTCTGTAGGGAGAGTCCCTCTGCAGAGCTATCCCGTAGCCTCGCTCGTAGAAGCTGTTTTCCGCAGTAGTGAGGGAGCAGTCAGGGTCGTTCAGCGCCACGTACTCAATGATAGGAGTGTCCCAGATGAAGGCATAGTTACCCTCACGTACCTGTACAAACCATAGTTTGCACAACTAAGAGGTTTATTCCAGTTTAATGGCAAAGTTGGTATAAAGTTCTCACATTGCATTCGATAGGTCTTCAGTTCGATCCCAGCCGAGTCATACCAAAGACTTTATAAATGGTACATACTGCTTTCTCTGCTTACACTCAGTATTTGGGAAAGAATATGGGAGTTAAACACACACCACCACCAGTGGACTAGACTGTGTGGCCAAAGGGTAACAGAAACGGAGATGGGCACCGCCATACATGTATGCGACCATGCTAATGGTTTCGAGGAGGACTTGAACTTTTAATACGTCTAGTATTCAGCCGACGATTCGGTGACTATCTGTCACCTTCCTCAGGAAAATGTTAACTGTGGCACCGACAACTGTGCTGTGCAATGTGTGACTTTGCGCCGACCTAGTCCTAACCATGGTTGGGGAAGTTTGGCTAGTGCTCGGTTGGCCAAATTCTTGAATTTGTGACAGGGGCTTTACGCATTTTCTTAAGTATTCTCGCACCTTTCTGAAGCCTTCGTCTGCCGTTTCCATCAAGGTGGGAGGGTCCGAGTTTGTCATAAACTTCCACATCTTCTGGTAAACCTGAAAGTTGTGCAGAAGAAATATAGATGTCAAGAAAAATTAGAGGCAAAGTCTTCAGGTGCATGTCCTATATGATTCGTGATAAGGTAGACTGACTCAATTCGTCATACATGTCAACATCGTCTGGTGAAGATATGAGGTCGTGGAACTCCTGTTACGTATACAACATACCTCAATTCTGGAGCTTTGGAAGGCCGTTGTCAAACTGGTGTCGCTCACAGTGCCGTACGGAATGACCGTCTGACTGGCCAGGTCGTCCACAGATCTTTGAAAAAAAATATAAATGGGTAAAATTCTACAAGCAAAATGAATATTTTTTTCTACATAGACTTCTTTTGGGACACAATGATGCAAGTCACCAAAGGCTTCATAAGACTTAGCCTTCTGCCTTATCACAAATATGGGGAAACACAGCAGACACAAACACACACACACACACACACACACACATACACATAGATACACACACATACACACACACACACACACACACACACACATAGATACACACACATACACACACACACACATAGATACACACACACACATAGATACACACACATACACACACACACACACACACACACACACACACACATAGATACACACACACATACACACACAAACACACACACACACACATACACACACAGACACACACACACGCACACACAGGCACTCAAACAGACAGACCAAAAACAATACCACCATTTCTCATATGGCCGTATCTGATACCTGATGGCAAGCGACAGAACTACTGACCTGATGGGGTTCTCCATCCGGGTGACGGTGAGAAAGGCGGCGAGGTTGGCGGTGTATGTGGAGATGACCACCAGGCTGAACAGCCACCAGAACCCGCTCAGTAGTCTGTGGGACAGACAGCGGGGACTCCAGTCCCAACCTGCGAAAGAAAAAAAAATATTATTAAGTCATAGCCAAAGTTTTAGCTTCAACGCGCCTTGAGGTAGTGGTGTAATACCGAGAAAATTACATCATACGATCCACTCGACAGTTCTCCAAACCATTGAGGTAGAAAAATCTACCTCCATGCCCAAACGCTTTCCGCTTGTCTGTAAACTTCAAGGTCTCCGAAACCCAAAATATCTCTGAAGTCTGAAATCTCCGATTGCTAGTTTTTCATGTGCATGTAACCATGATTTACCCCACAACAGTCTATATTCCGAACTTGGGTAGCCCTCCCTTCCATTCGCGGTGACGATGTCGTCTGGACGGAACTTCGAATTCGTCTAGCGGAGGTGATCATGATACTCTCAACCACAGCATCACCTGCAGTACCTTACCTTGTTGCATGAGGGAGCCTATGATAAACCACAGACTGTCGTTGAGTCCGAACCTGGACGGGCCCTCCCCTTCCTCAGTGACGATGATGTCGTCAGGGCGGAACTTGTTGAGCAGGTAGAGGAACACGCCGACGATGACGACCGACCCGCCGATACACGCCCAGACCTCCGGCGTGAACGGACCCATGAACCCGAACACATTCCGCGTGTTGTCCTGGGAAGAGATATAGACTTAGGGCTCGGTCGCATACGTCGTGCGAACGTCGTACAATCATCGTGCGAACGTAGTACAATCATTGTGCGAACGTTGTACAATCATCGTGCGAACGTCGTACAATCATCGTGCGAACGTAGTACAATCATCGTGCGAACGTCGTACAATCATCGTGCGAACGCCGTACAATCATCGTGCGATCGCCGTACAATCATCGTGCGAACGTCGTACAATCATCGTGCGAACGTTGTACAATCATCGTGCGAACGCCGTACAATCATCGTGCGAACTCCGCATAGGAAGACTACTCTTGGGATAGTCTTGCATGTAGTGTCTGTTTTAAAGTGCTTATGAAGTCTGGGATCAACATCTTAAACAGTAAATACTGCTACTGCTGGCTAAGATGATGAGAAACACTGGCATCACCCAGCGCATTGGAATTATCAACCAAAGCAACATTCATGTCTCACAACAAGCAACATGGAATGTACCCAAAAGACACCATTTACTTTGTCTGCGAATGACCCATGAATTCTTTGTCGTAGATGTCTGGATTCCCCCAAGCTAAGACAACTAACAATACAAGTCCATTTTTGCCCAGGACCCTTTCATGAACACAAGCCTCACAATTCTTTCTGATGGACGAGGCATTAAAGAAGTCGTAATTTTCTTTAAGCTGTAAAGAAAGTCCGAAGTCGAGATTATGTAAGACGCATTTAGTGCCTACATAATGTCTTAAAGAAGAAATAGGGCAATAAATCCTAAGACCATCAGGGCGCCTGAGTTAAAGATACCAGGTCTGTCTAAGACAGGTATTCAATAGACTGCCTACATTACCAAGTATGTAAAAATAGGAAACAACGAACGCAATATCCACACGGGGAGTCTCTATGGCGCCCTTTAAGATGAGGGTAAGATTAGAATCTATTACGATGCACATTTCAGACTGTAAACGTACGTTAGCTGCCAGGCATGGCCTACTGTAGGTCTCTGATTTCACAAGCAAAAGAGATATTATGTATTCTTACGGTTTGCTAGAATATTGCATCATATTGCAACATTATCGTCCATGGTTACTTAATATAGAATGGGTTAAATGTTTAAATGAGTCTTGGACTTTCCAAGCGACAAGTCATTAAATCTTTCAATATATATAGTTGTTTCTAGGACCAAATTGGTGTTTTAGCATGCACTAAATATGTACAAAACAATGAGCATATACTGGTGTTAGAATAGTCAAATGAACATGATGCTAACAAAATGATCACAACTGGCAAAGAGTAGCGAAGTGTGAAAATATAAATCGCAACAGGACCAAAAAAAAACAGAGGCCACATCAACACTTTACCATCTAGCTTGTGATGTATGTGTTTTACTGTGTACCAGAACACTACAGCAGCATTACTCAGCTTTTCAGTCCATCATTGTGTAAAATGATGTTGCAGTTTATCAGAAGGTGCCTTAAAGTGAAGGTCAATCTAGGGGAGGGTTGTGTAAGGCAGAAGTATTTAATGATTGGTCTGAATAAGGTTGTCATGAGAAGTAGGTTGTGGCGAGTCTGGATAACCTGTTGATGCACAATGGTATTATCTGTGACCGAAACCGTTTTAGTGAAAGGTCGAGGTAGACTTTTACGTAATTTATTCACCGACGCGTGTGGTATTCATTTTTCTGTATGACCCTTTCTCCCCTTTAAAAGGCAGAGACACACGTGTGCTGCCCTTTGCAATTATATAGAAAAGGTCGAACACGAACACTATTAGGTATACTTTGCATGAGTCAGTGTCTACTGTGTCTTTCCTAAAAGTAAGTCGAAATTTTGGAGATACCATTGTGACGAAATTATTCATTTACGCGTAAAATTATTAAGATGATATTTTGTTGTGTTAAAACTAAGGCGCGGGTTCGAGTGGTATGTTGAATGACCGAATTGCTAGAGAAGCTACAGGTTACTGATTCTATTTCTGACATTCCTGGCTAAACATTGTGTCCTTAGGAATTTTCTCACTCCATTCAGGGTTAAAAATGGGTACCTTACTTCGGATGGAGAAGTTAAAAGGCAGGCCCCACCTTCCTGTACCGTGCCCTAGACACAGACGATATAGCAGCTTGCTATTCCTTCAAGATTATGGAACATCCCTTTACGTGTATTATAAGACAAAGCTATTCGCTAACATGGATGAGATCTCACACTAACCTTCGGTTTCTTCATCAAGATCCCAAAGGACTGGTCCATGTACCGTTTAGGGAAGTCCACGACTTTTTCTCGTTCTTTTGTGATGGTCATGGCTGCAATGGCAACATCGGCTTGCTATAATACAAGAAACAAATACATGGTGATCGTAAGACATATTGTTCCTAGATAAAAGGTCAAATATTGGTTATAAATCATACCCAAAGCTGTGTGGGTAAATAATGAGGGAAACCATGTGTTTCGACGTTCTGTAAGGTTGAAATTGTTCAGGGTTCGCACCTTTAGCCTTGATACGGCTGCGTGCAATTTTACAAATTGAAGGTATTTCCCATGTGCTGCTTCATGTTTTTCAACAATAATGTCACACATGATCATTCATCCACACTCAGTGCCTGCAACTATATAACAGACCCAACTCGCTAGAAGAAAGTTCGTCCGACGTTATTTTTTATTGTAGCATTCTTTCTTCTACCTCCATGCTTCAGTAATATCTAACCCTGTGTATTTGGCCCATGTAGGGTCGCTTGAATAGGCAATGGAAATGATTGTCCTTGTAGATAATATAGACTCTTACGCAAAAAATAGACCTCATATTCACGATTTCGTGTCACATCATATTGCTTAAAATGTAACAATACCTATTTGATTGTTAAGGTCGTTACTAAATTCAACGTATTGTTTTACATGTAGATTCAACGCTTTCATCACTTTCTGTATGTTAGTTTTTCTAAATGAGTAGAAACGTGACGCCATTTTGTTTACCACCTTGTTTACCACGTCCCCAATCATCCCGTTCCATGTCCCATCAGGCCTCGGGGCACCATACTTCTGGTCGGCGACGCCGTACACCACGAAACTGAAGTTCAAGGTCTTGGACAGCTCCTTGATGACGTCAATGGAGAACCCGTCGTACTCCACTCCACTGGACCGGACTTGCTCGAACACAAATGGTATGTCCTAGAGAAACAGTTCGTTTTTTCTTTAATTAGATCGCACAGATATAGGCAAAGACACGGACATTAAGTCGCTGCAAGCAATACATGCAATGATTGCACTATACATGGCTTATGCCACCATATAAATGGCTACAGTATATGATGGCAAGGCCTAGCCGGTACCTATAACCCCTGATTGTGAAAACCGAAGGCCAGTATAGTATATATAAGGTATTCAGAATCTTTGAAAGAATTCTTAAACGATCAAAATCCAAATTCTCTACGACACTAAATCAGATATTTCTTAGCTAATAACGTTCCTTGTGCCAAACGCATTGATAGAGTCATTGGAGACCTTCATTCACGAAGTTAATGAAGTACTTGTAACATTTATAGCAGCCACATGACACACTCTATTACACGTGTCTGTACAACTTAGTACAAATGGGATTACAGGTCTTTAATTTTGCACCATAGTTAGGTTATGGCCACCATAATATATTCATCAACTGGTTGCTGCCAGACCATCATCAGCCTTTATGCGATCTGAAATAAAGTTAAAGCTGCCCTGATGCCCCACAGGGCTGGTGTTTATCTTGGCTGACCTATGCTGAAGCTATTGATTTATCTAATTGTGGACTTACGACCGAGTCCCTGATGTGGCAAATTTGGGTCAGAACGCCGGCTGCAACTTCATTCGTTTACGACGTTATCTCACCAACTATAGCAGGATTGACCAGGGGTGATGTCCACTGAACGGTACATTTAGTGCTGGTTTAAGTCCATTAAAGGCTATAAATAAAGTGTACTTTTGGTGGTGACGTGTTCCCTTTCTTAGATGCATTCCTTGAAAATGAATCAGGCAAAGGGATTTATGGAAGGGGAATTAGTGTCTGAAAGCGCGAGTGTTCTAAGTTACTTTTGGAAACTCAAGTAAGAAGTTGCAGACTTTTGGGAATACACAGAAAGATCGCACGCGTTGTTACTATGAACAGAGTAGCCCCTCTATAGCTATTTTATAATGTAACATCCTCGGATAGAATGATGATGCTTTGGTGGTTTGGAACAGGGATAGTCGACTATGTGGTTAATTAGTTGGCTAAGTTCTACCGCGTCGAAGTGAGCCAACCTGGGGTCCTTAACATATGAAATGGTTTGACTCGTCGGCGCACTTTTACTATATGTTGATTAATCGTCATGTAAGGTAAATTAAATGTAATACTTTTAACTGATAGAATGTTGTAAGTTGACAGAATTGTTTTTAATTGACAAAATGTTAAATCAACAAAATTCAGTCGAGTTCAAGATTGCCAAGTTGATTGAATATAGTTTGACTTGATTTGATTTAAAATCCCCAGGGAGGAAGCTGTGTTCTGCTACATTATATTTACTTACCTCTACGGTAACGACCCTGAGCGTGACACCCTGTATGTCCGGCCAGTCCATCCGCTGGGTCATGTTGAGGCCCGTCCGGTCACTCCAGGTCCCGGTCTAGAAAAAAACGAAAAGAAAAATAATTTCCTAGTATTGTACATCAAAACAAAACCTTTGCGACATGCTTCACAGTTAAAACGTGTTTTACTGAGCATTTGACATGTTAAGTGTTAAAGTTACCGGGATGAACTTGGCAGTCTTGTTGATGGTCTTCAGCGACAGAAACTCGTATTCCGCACGGCTGTTGTAACCAGTAGGACCGAAGGCGACACCTCCAAGTGAACCCTTCCACGTTTTCTGTAAAAGAAATAACATTTATTATATGACGAAAAAAAAATCAAAAATCGTCATTCTGCATGTTTTAGAGCTGGCTAGCTCTCAACCAACCAGACACGTCCCCACCTGTCGCTGGTTGGGTAGTTTCCAACCGACTAGCCAATCACCATGCAGAGTGAATGGTGATTGTGATTCCGATTGGTTAGTAAATCTGCTACAAACAAGTTTGGCATCTGATTGGCTGTTGGCTGGAATTCAAACCTAGTCGGGAACTTCATGAGTGAATGTGAGATCATCCCACCTGCTTGAGAGTGGACATAATGACCTCTCCCTGTTTCCCCGGCTCTGAAAACGTCCCGTTCTCGTCACAGCGGACCCCCCTCCTGCCGCCATGCTTGTCGAACACTACCCGGTCTCTGACGGCCTGCGACAGGATCCGCACAGCATCGAAAATGTAGAACAGATCAACCTGGGGTGGGGAGTAGAGTAACCTGGTATTAAGTCTATATAGACGTATATGGTTTCAAATATTTCCATCCTTAGAATGAGAAAATGCCAAAATTTGCCATTTAATCTGCACAGCTGCAATTTTTGCACAGTAATGGTCATTCATTCATTCAATCATTCGCTCATAAATTCAATTAAAGTTACTTACCTTTGTATACGGAATGACGGTCCTTCCGCCATTTTGGATGAAGTCTCGCGTGATTTTGGCCGGGAGAGTTGAGATGAGATTTCGCGCGGAGTCGGAGAGGTCGAACACGTGTCTGATGGTCGTGATGACGCCGCGAACTGTGCCGATCGTGTTCTTCACATCCTCATCCAAAACTTCCTAATGGGGAAATAAAAAGGTCTTAGGATGAGAAAAACATACATCAGCGTTTTCGTTTTTAGAGTCGAAAACAAATTATATTCTAGTTGACAATGACGGTTGTATTTCAATCATCCAACGTGCGTGTATAGGTGTGTCATACTGCCTAAGTCTCGCTAAGCATTGGCTACCAGTACATTTTCTGAGAGCCCGTCTGTCTGATTATAGCAGTGCTAACAAATGGGTAGCAAAGTTTCTCTTGAAGCAGATCTTATAGTAGCTGCAATACAGTATCAAAATGGCCAGACAGTATCATTTGGAGGGCAGAAAAATACCAGTACAAAAAATAAAGCTAGAAAGCATAAAACACTTCAAAATTAGCCGAAACTTAAACCTCTGCTTTGTGATAATAGACCTCTGTAGGTTGGCAACCTCTAAGTACGACGAAAGTTACGGAAGCTTATAATAGACAGGTACCAGACTGAGGGTTAAGATGTGTGTAGATTGACTAATGAATAAAAGGACCAGAGACAGTGTGTGAATACACAAACCAGATTGAATCGTTTGAAGTGGATTAAAGTATCCTACTCACCGGATTACCGATGAGCCAGGATGATCCCTCTCTCACGGGTTCAGATACAAAAGCCTAAACAGAACACATGGCAAGTAAAAAAACCTTAATACATTATTGAAATACCATTCCCAACCACTCTATCTACAGATTAAATCGCAATTAAAGGCTTAAACGAGTATTGATTCCGTATAAATAAACCACGATGTGTCTAGGTTCGTTAGGGGGTTACTAGTCGTCTGGTCTGTCTTGATTAGTTGACTTCGGTAATAAGGTCTTCAGACGCGTGCCGATTTATACAAAGGGCAGACTAGGCAATGCAGGCAAACTTTGTGAGGAGTGTATAAGAAATCCGAGAAAATATAAACACTGTAAAGAAGTAGGGTTTACCATTGATGATAAATGTTATGTACGTTTGGTGGTGGTTGATTTTGAAGTTTTAAATGACCAAAGTATGAAATGCTGACTCAAATGTGCTAATGTGAAGCAGTGAGTGCCAATATCACAAAGATTGCATCATTTAGGATATTTCCAGTTTCGCTGCCCTGAGATATCATTTGATATTTGATGAAAGATTACTTTAAGACAAGAAGTAATTATAGTATAACCTGAGCCAGAAGCTGCATGGTGTTTGGTACGTCACACAGGATGAGCACGTGGCTGAGTTTGACCCCGTCCCCTTCTATCCTGGACAGGATCCGGTAGATGTTCCCGTCGTAGTCTGTCCTGGGAACGGGAGGGACTCTGAAGATTGTCATCGCCATCTTGTTCTCAGGACTCGTACCCAGGATAGTCTGGATCCTGTTAAAGTCTGGACGAAATGGAAACCATTGCCGAGATTAAGGTAAGTTTGAAAAGTGGTATTTATGTTTACCGAAGGAAACATATTGTTTTTGCTCTGTTTCTTCTTATTCTTCCGTTCCAAACACTGACCTGGTCAATGACCTGAACCAGACCGTCTGTCGCCATGGTAACTTGGGTTACATCATGTTGCAATTTTTAGTAGGAGGGATTTAGACTCCTGTCACCATATATATGGATGTGTTTGATTAACAGAGCAGGCCATATGCTAAGGTAAACACTTGATTTGCAAATGTTACCTTTCTTGTTGAAGCTGAATCACTTAAGTGGATGAAAATTTCAATTTAGTTCAATTAATGGGCTTTTACTTTGATGTGTTATATAGCTTATACATATATAGTTGTTTCTTTCATAGTAGCTTATAAATGGACTCGGCAACATAATGAATTATGGAAATTAGATAGTCTAAGATCGAAACAAACGAAATAAAGAATTTTAATCTGATCAGTGGAAATTAACATTGATATGGTTCTAGAAATAGAGGTCACTTTAACGAAATCAACTCCCTCAGTTTAAGGAATTGACACCACAATTACAAATTGTGTGTATGAAATAGTAACATTGCTATAGGAGTAAACAACGTTTATAGAAGTACTCTGTAAAGCAGGCAAAGGCTTTAATTTTCATAAGTTTATATGAAGGTAGAGTCTTTGCAGTGCATAATACTGAGCCCCCTAACATAATAGATGCCCTGTAATGTGCTGTACAATTAATTAGTCTTCAGATGAAAGCATGTTTAGAATCCCCCAGGTGGATGGTTAGTAAAAGTGGAAGGGTCGGTAAATAAGGCTTTAATGCGCCCCGCAAATATATGCTTCATGACTAATTCACTACGACAATTTCTAATGTTATTTTCCTTCTCACTTAGCCTAATGAAGACCCAGGTTACTGGGTTAAAGAGTTGATTAACAGCTGAATAATGCATAAGTCATACTCGCTGGTCTTTAATTTTCACGAAATATAACGCTTTTACCCTACGAATGAAGTATATGTTTTCTGGCTGCCATCTTGGTGTCCAGATTTGCATTTCAGAGGCTCATATCGTTATCTTTGGTTTGTTTCTTTTTTTCCTCTCTTTTTAAATTCTATTTTCTGAGATGAAAATATTGGAGATTGTTTATTTGATTTATCAATGTCCGCAAACGCTGAAAACATGCAGACAGCTACATTAATATGGCGGCAGACACAGTTATAACGTCGTTTCAAAACGCTCTATGAAGGTTTTCGCACTAGAACACCAAGTTGTGAAATGACGCAAGTTACCTACATGGTTACTCCCAAGGGAAATCTTAGTGAAAACGTTATATAATGTTCGCATGTTTAAGTATACCACACTATACTTAAGTATACTTAAGTATACCACAGACTATGAATCATTATTTACAGCACATGCTATGGGTGCCTCCACTGGGTTTAATTTCCGTGATGGCCTTCTGCTTTGTTGTGATAGTGTCTCCAAGTTACAACGTTTACTCACTTATTCCTTAGTACATTTTCGAAAATCTATATTTGCAATGCTTCTGTTACCATATATGGTATAGTGTTTCTCTTTCACCCTTCGACATTTTTGGGTGCTTTTACTTTACGACTGCTGACATTTTGCAGTATAATACTTTTTATATACCATAACCGATCAGTTTTTTTTCAAACCATGACCGTTATACCAAGCGGAATGGCGCACTAACTAACACACGTGCTGTCTATTCTTGACTAGAGATGAGAATAATGTATAAGATCTCAGGGCACGTCGGTACGTTCTGTGTTTTCTACCGGATAACGAGCATTGTCAATTAATAGTCTGCATGATTCTGTTGCACGTTGACACACTAGAGGCCCCGCTAAATTTCTGGCGATATCTTTAACATTCAAAGGCTTATCATTGCCTAACATGTAATTCGATAGAATCTAGACTGACCCAGACACAATTCATGTCCACAAAACTGCTTCAAGGTAGCCGAGATTGCATGAAAATTAGGGTAATGGTCTAGTATTTCGATGGCAATGACATCCATCATAAATTACCAAATGATGGGCCTGTGTAAAATTGATAATGATTCGTGTGTGTATAATTCTAACACTTGATTCACTTTCTGTATTTTCTATTGATTAACAGAGTAATGATTTTGTTAACTTTTGTCAGACCATAACTTGGACTGTATTAAGTGGTAAGAATGAAATGAAAGAAGTAATAGGACTTATTTTGCAATGAATTGCTACTTAAATGTTCTCATTTTTATCATGGTAGTTTTTGAAGGAAACGTATTGTTTTTGCTCAGTTTCTTCCTCTTCCTCTTCTTCTCCGAAGAAATAAGGTCAATGACCCGGACCAGACGCCTGTCACCATGGTAACTAGCACTGTAGCAACACCGTGTGGTGTTAGGTAACATTGCATTATGTAGTTGTAGCAGAACAGAGTTGGAGAGCCTGCTCACCATAAATATGAATGTATTGTAGTTAGTCTTGAGTAAGAATAAATAGAGAAGTAGTTTGTTGGGCTAGACCAGGTGAAGATATACATACATTTCTAGTCTTTTTTTTTTATTACAAAACGTATGTATCCACTTACTGGTGTCTTTATCGTAGAATATGACGACTTGTTCCCAGTTGCTGTCCGCCATGTATGCCGCTAGGGCAAGGTCAACCTGCGCGGGGTCAGGGGTCACGCTCAGAAGGAACTCTCCAAGGTTAACATCCGGGCATTTGTTGGTCGTCAGATGGGGAATCCGCAGCTCATTGGTCAGTGACGTCAGCGTGGCCGTGTCATCACAGGTCACGTGACTCAATATGGCAACTACGTCATTCTGCAGCATTTGGCACACTGAAATGGATCAAGACATAATGATAAGAGAGAGTAATTCTTCACAAAAGCTGATGATTTTTCTTTGATCACATACGATGACGAAAGTTTAGAACATCAACCTACAAAATAAGAACCTATATTTCGTACCGTAGAATTTTACCATAGCATTTACTACCAGCACGTACAATACTAGCCTGAAGGTTTGTATAAAAGACGGGCAACGTTTTCCGGTGGAAACCCTATTTCTAAGACTATGAATGGTAATAGATGATTAGTATTGCCTTAAGGTTTAATATCACATCTCTTTCCTGGCTATGGCGGCTTAAGCTAAGCTTTACTTCGCACTCTCCAAATCCACTGTGAGAATTTGAGTGCAGCGACATTAGTTTCGTCCATCTATCTTGTCCACCGATAAGGACGTAACATCCTTCCATTAAAAAGAAAGAAGAAGCAAGAAAAATTATAGCATATGATTAAAGAAATGATGACTTTAGAACTGAGCTCAATACATTGAGTAGATGTGGTATAAGAAGCAACTTGAAGTAACTTTGGGCCAGAAGGCATCTGGAAGATGTATCCACTCGTAAAACCAGGGGATTTTCTTAGTCTGAATAATGGCAAAATGTTGCATTTGGGGCTCCTTAGCTGTCTCCGTCGTCACATTAGAACCTGCCCCGGGCTGCTTTGGTTAATCTCCGGGTGTTGTGAAGGTGTTTCTCGGGGTGGGTGATGCGTGGGAGGTCGGCTCCCCCCGGAGTTGGACGTATGGAAGGATTATCGGGGTCAGGCACGGAGTGTGTTTATATTTTAATATCACAGTCATCATGCCAGCGATTCTTTCGGAGGCAAAATCATAGACTAGACCACAGCTAGTAAATTTTATGGATGACCTCCTCTGCAGTCTCCAAATCTAATGCGAGCGGGCGAAAAAAACAAGACGGGCCGATAAAAACAAGGTAACAACATTTTAAAATTTTGACTCAATCATTGTACAAATGGTTTTGATTCAGTGGGAACATCACATATACACAGCCATCATCACATATCACTGCATCAAAAGAGAAACAAAACATTAAATCAGAGCCTTTTCTTGTCTCCCCTCTTCATAGTTATCTGCCATCCACGTTCCGGCATCATGGCAACATCTTTGCCCATTTTCGACATGTTGACCACTGTCAGAAGGCAACAAAATTTCTTTCTTTTTTCTAAAATCAGGCGAAAATTAATGCACGCGTTGATGTCATCCATAAAAATTACTTGCTGTGGCCTTATGATTTAAAATGATGCTTCAAGTAAGTTAGCTCTCTACATAGATGAGGTATAAGAAGCAACTTGATGTAACTTTGGCCAGAAGGCACTAAACAAGACGAATCCAAGGGATTTTAGTCTGAATTATGGTAAAATGTTGCATTTTGAGATGTTTATTTCGTCTATTTATTTATTCGCACCTTACAAGATACCAAATACATAAATGAGTATATAAATAAAACATAACAGTCAGTAAAAAGGAGGCCAAATCGTAGTATGCCTGTTAAAATGCACCTCTTCATCAAATAATTTAACAATTCAAATAAACCAATAAGTCAAGTAATAAGAAAATGAAACAATGTAAAGATTTAGGTGTTTTGTATTGTGTGGATAATCGATAGGTTCCTTAAGGTTCCAGACCCCAAAAGACCCATTCTGAGACGAACATACAATCAGATTGAATTGATGGCAACATTGCTTTTATGTGTCACTATGTCTATAAAGTTGTTTTATATACAAGAGCTGACCTTTCCAAATGTGTATTTTATTACACTGAATAGACGTTTTAATGCATTACAATAGATATCTCTCCCTACGTGAAAACTAAGTGTAACTTTTCCTATCATCGAATGAAATATTGCTGTAAGTTAGGTGTGACATAGGTCCACGATGACTGGAATTACTTGGAATTTAAATCCAATAACCATTTATTCGCATCACTTAATTATTCAACACACATATGTATTTTGAACGTTATTGATAGTTACTAGTGTACCATGATAGGGAATCATTTTCTTAACATCCTTGAGGTATTTACCCTTGGTACCCATATAATCAAGTTGATGAACACCAATGGCCTTTCCCGTTCCCCTGATGCAAGTGTAGTAATACTAACCACCCCCATGAAACTCCTTCCTCTTCGCCCCCGC